TTTTTTTTTGTTTTTCACTCCTCTCATATTTATCCTGACGAGAGTTTATTGGAAGCAGAATGCAAACTCAATACGAACCGAGAGGGGGGAGTGGGGGTGAGGGGTGACACAAGAGGAAAAAAGGGGAGACTGATGATGTGAAGCGCGGGGCGGCGGAGGGAGGGAAGGAGGGTGGGCAGAAAGAGGAAAGAGGGGATAGAGAAAGACAATGACTGACTGATTACAGCACCTTATCATCGCTGTATTTGTTCTGGTTAGATGAGTTATTGGATGCGTTCTGCAGCTTAAACAGCAAAATAGCAGCAAATCAGAGGACTGAACCAAAAAGCAAATGAAAGACTCGAAGAATCCCGCTGCTCATTTCATGCCAGCAAGTGAGGGGGGGGGAAAGATGTCCGTTTTGGTGCCTTTTGATTGGTATACGAACCGAAACTTTGGCTACAGTGTAGCAGCAGAATCTTTAATGTGTTTCCAGTGAAAGAGATCCTTAAAGCTGATTTTTCATGGAACAGTTTTCAAATGAGTTCAGGTGTAATGAATGTGTTGGAAATCCTCGATATTAGAGTCATGGCTGTGTTGTTGAGTGTGTGCAATAAACCTTTAAACTGCTTTGGAAGTGTTCTGTTAGCACTATAGAGTTATCGATCAGCGCGCTTTATCTCCAAGTGCGCTCGGACGCGCACGCGTGTGTTTGTGAGCGAGCGAAAGATCGAGAGAGATAGAAAGAGAGAGAGCGAGAGTAAGCAGAGAGAGGGAGAGAGAGACAGAGAGAGTGATAACACTATTGATCTGTTCCTAACAGTTACAGTAGGCTTAAATCTACCTCTGGTCGCACACACACATGCTGTTAGTTGTTGTCAGCAGCTCACAGCGAGGCGCTGCATGGTTTCACTTTGGATTGATCCGCTTTGAGATATTGTTACGTTGAGTCATTACTGCTGTAGCCTCATCACGTAAACATGCAGCCAAATAACAGCCAACAATAACATAACAAACCGCTCAGAGTTCAAGTTACGAAGTTACGATTCACACGACGTGACAGGTTTTCAAACATACATAGAAAGATTTTTACTAAGCATAAAGACTGCGGGCTACTCTGATGTCCCGTCTCACATGGAAATAAACTATGACAGAGGAGCCTGCGTTCAAACTGTCACCTGTGTCCATATATGTATATATTAAATATAGCTCTACACATTGGGCTACTTTCACAGGCTGTGAAGCAGTTTGCACAATTACAAGCATACTGTAAGCTCACAACGTGCGCGTTCAGAAATGCTGACACATCACCTGCTGCAGTCCCGAATGTTTGCGTCAGACTCTCTGGAGAGGCAGCTAAATGATACCAAAGACTGCTGCAATGGCGCCGCGTCGAGCCTGCCGGGAGGGGAAAGTTGAGATGAGAAGGGTTGGTGGCTGCGTAGCTGATTGGCTGTGACTGAACTTTTGAGATTATGTGCTAGTAAACGGCTTTCTGTATGGACGCAGCTTTAATGGGAGACTACTCTGCTGGGACAGATTTGACTTGTCCCAGGAGATAAGGAGGGAAATAAGAAGGTAATGGCTGCAAGCCCATTTGCCACCCACTTAACTGCGCTAAAATTTGATTGAAACTTGTTAAATTTACACAAAAAACAGCTCGATAAACGCAGTAAAGTGACACACAGGGACACCTTTGCAGGGCTAAACACCCTATTTTAAACCACAAGCATCTGGTGGTTCACGCTCCAGTCACACAAAGAAAAACA